AATCGTGTATCGGCGTCGCAGATGCCGTTCCTGTCTCTCAGCTTGCCGCTTACCCTCCTTGTCTCTTTCTTTCCGCCGGCGTAATTTATGGTAAATAACAACTAAAAGTGCGAAACAACGGCGGAGGATCGCAGGCGCCTCTTAGTCTTCCTATAAGTACGCGTAAGTCCGCCGTAAAGTCTTCGCATAAGATATCAGTAGCTCGCAGGTGTCGTCGAACATACTCTCGTAAAACTATCTCGACGTGTCCCAAACTTCATACATGAGATAGCGCGTTCGCACTATTATAAACGCGCGCGTCTAATACCATTCGTCCTGCTCTCGCACGCTCGTTCGTGAACTCTTCCTCCGTCGTATTGATCGTAGCCGCGTCGTGAGCGAGTCTCTTGGTTCGTACGCAATTCTTGATCGTTCGAGAGAGCACCTGTCGTCGCGCGACGAGCGCCATTTCGCTCGAAAGGATTGCCTTTCACTCGCGTAGCCGAAAACCACGTTAACCGTCGCACTCATCGCAATCTCCGTTCAAGCGTTCCTCGAGTGAGCGGCGCCTGATGAAGTAGAAGCAAGCTACTCAGGTCATTGAAACGTAAGTCCTGCGAAGAAGCAAGATTGTCGTCGAATTCGCGAGGCAAACACCTCGCCCTGTCATAGTTCGGCAAACGACGTAACCGAGTTTACAACTGTGGAGGCGCCTTTTCTGGATTTCACGACGAATTTCACGTCGAAGTTAAATGAATAAACGTCGTACCACCACCGTAATTCTTATCTCGATCGTTTCACGGCGCATAGTGGAATTTATGTTAACGAAGATGTCAATTAACAGAGCGGCAGTTTCATTATGCAGCTCGGGTGTTTTAATGCGCGACCGGAGTTTGAGCACGCGCTGTTCGGCGCGAGATGCGAATTAATTCAATTTCGTTGCATATTCGCAGGGCATTGTGCGTTGTCGACGGACGAAAATTATCCGCATGTCGATGTCACGGGAACTGAGAATTAAAAGGAAAAGAAAAACGAGAAGCAGCCGGAGGTTTTTAAAGTCGAAAAACATACAGACAGCAGATGGAATTATTGCGGGTTGCACGTTTCGCAATACGTCTTAGCTGGAATGACGCAGCCAGCCCTTTGTTGCAAGCTTCGTCCGCAAGCTCCTGCTGCCTGTGGCAGCTGCAGCCTCGCAATCATGAAGGTTACGTGGCATAATCGAAACTAGATGCGTCTGAGCATGCCAGGAATGCTCCTGAGCAAATAGCCACGACGTTATTCATCATCTTTATCGATTCTCGACTTTGCAATTCTTATTTCAAGGCATAGCAAAATCACATGCTCAAGTATTGTGTGGCAATTTACACAGTTCACGTTGTATAAAGCTTTAGGATTAAATACATCTGTCTTCTTTAAAGGGGGAAAATAAGAGATTTTTACAAATTCTTTTTCGAAGAAAAACGAATAAAAATATCAATATGGAGTATTAACTATATTACTTATACGATAAATGATATGGTTAATAATAAATGGCATGGTTATCCGCCTACCCCGATATCTTAATTTCTGTGAAAAGAAAACCGTAAAAACCTTTTGTTTTCCGGTTATCTAAACCAAAGAGAATTTCTCTTAAAGTAAATAATTTTTAAGCAATTGCTCGAACTAACTAGCTATTTTTACATCAATACTTAAGTTCAACCTGTAGACAAGAGAGAGAAGAGATTTTATTTCAGTAGGATTTTCTAAAGTTTGTGGAATAATACGTGGAGAGAGGAAAGAAGACATTAATGGTACAAAGAGAGTTGCGGACTGATTCCGAGAAGGAGGAACGCGTGATTTCCTTTTGCAGCAGGAAAATCAATGCATTTCACAGTAGTTTTCTACGAAAACTCGTAATAGAAGTCTTCGGCAGACAGCACCCAGCCGTCTACTGGACACAAACAGATCGTGCCGTTGATTGCGACAATAAATTATATAATGCGCGGGCGCGTGCACGCGAACATCGACTTTACTGTTTAAATTGCTCTTTCTTTAAAACTCTTCGGAATTTGAAATTCGACGACAACGTGTCGATTCGGCAACGCGTGATCGAAAATCACGATTGCATTCATGGATTTCCGCGCATGATTCTCGCGTTTTTTTGCCACGGAAAAAGGAAAAGCTGGACAAGCGCGACCAAACAGTCGCATACCGGGCGTTTATGCAACTGCATCATTATTTCGACGTAAACGAACGCGCTTGCGGCGACGGCCGAACAAAAAGAAATGACATGCTCGAATTTATCGGCGCTACGCATAAACGACAGTCGCAGCTCACCAGCCTTTATTCGCTCTCAATGGGCGAAAAGTGTTCCTATCAGACGTGTCAACGGCACGTTCCATGCAAAATCTGTAGGCGCGGCGCGAGCTGTCGAGTGCTCGCGTGAATTCCGCGACTTTATCGTAGCTTGTAGCCCGTAAAAATATTTCCGCGGTTAAAAAGCGACGGTAACGTGAGTTAGTGTCTGTATATATCGGTATCACACGTCGGGATATGTTATTATCTACAGGATTTGCTAAAATATTTACTCTGTAAATTTATTTTGCGAAAACGACCATCGAGTCTCCTTCTCTCTTTCTTCCTTTTTTCTCCCTCTTTTTTGTTTTTTCTTTCTTTGTACCAAGCTACAAACGGATCTCTTCCCCTTCGTTTGGTTGTAGGATCGCGCGTTTATATCGGGATATAAACTTTCCCGTGGCTATTGGCTTTTTCCGCAACGTCGTTTTCGCGGGAAATCGCGGGATCGACGGATAGAACGGACGCGCGCTCATTTGCGCGCGCCCGCTCGCGGTTCAATATGAGCCGAAGACAATTGCTAACGATAATGAGATCGACCACACCTGCACGGTTACGCGCGAGCGCGCGGCGGGTGCGTTTTCGCGTAGTAGCATGTAGGAGGACATCGCGAGGAAACGCTATTAGCCTGATTGGAAGTACCGGGTGAAGATATTTGTTGGTGCGCCGGACGATTATTAGGTAAACGAGCCCCTTCGTTAATGACGTGACACGGCTGCGCCACACCACTGTCGTCGAAGCCGCAAGTAGAGTTTCCGAAACTGCACATGTTGAAATTCATTTTGCAATTAGGCGCATGCGTGACTACGTTACGCGACGATGGGTGTGTGTTTACGCAAGTAGCGGATTATCATAAACACAACTTCGCCGCACGGCTCTCCTGCGACGATCAATTCTCTCCTCGTTCTTCCAGTTGACCGCGCTATATTTTTAATCAGGGATTATCGGTTGATCGAGCTTGATTACATAATCGTATGATTGCGTGCCTTTAATAAACGAGACAGCTGACCGCGACCGAGGTATCTGCAAGGAGTAGAGCGGCTTTAAGATATGAGAACTATCTCGTGTTTGGATGCCTTTCATTTGAGCAGTGAGCGAGCTCACCGCGGAAGCGATCGGCCCGAAATATAGAAGCCGGGGGAAATTGAAGAGGCAATGAGAGAAGCACTTGCACCTTTCGCTCTTGGAGTGTATTGATAATCGAATTCTCGAAAAGCATGCGCGCGATTGCCCTACCGAGATTCTATCACGACAAAAGAAAAAAGAAAAATCACGAGGTCGCGCGTAAAGGTTGGAAACAAAAAAGAAAAGAAAACAGAATGTCGGGGCCGATGGCGGGGAATAGCTTAGCGAGAAACGTGCTTTATAACTACGTAAAGAGTAGCGCAACGAGCGACTTCAACGAGTTGTAACGCATATAGCGGAAATCGATACTTGCAACCGGGAAAATCTTACACTCTTCTGCCCGTGCTGCGTGCTACGCGCGGTGTTTGTACATACCATAAAGAAAAATAAACAGAAATGAAGCAAGACGAAAGAGAGGAGGAAAAATTCAACGATACTTCGATCCGTCGTCGTATCGCTCGGTGGCGTAATGAAATTTTCTCAAACGACGTCGTGCGCTTGGTAACGACGTTTCTCCCGGTGAGACGAAAATAAATCTTCTGTTTAATGCACCGCCGTCGGGTCGTTGTCCTCCGGTAGGTGGACCGGAGTTTTTCGCGAGGCGGAGACGACAGAGTAACAACGGAAACCAGACCTCTTCTCTCTCCCTTCCTTTCCCCCTCTCTCTCTCTCTCCTTTTTTCGAACGCCTACGAGCCGAGAGGGAAAAAAGAAAGCTGTTGTCGCGACGTGTTGTCGAAAAGGGGGAAAAAAGTGCAACGGGGTCAAGGCGGTTCGTTACTCCTTTCCTCGGCCGTCCCGGGAAAATTGCTCCGGGCCGACGCGAGCTTCTTCAGGCGTTCGACAACTTCCCTGCGTGTCTCAAACGGCCGTGGGAAGAAAAGCCGGACAACAAGAAATGGTGGTGAGAAGTGGCTCGGTTGCAGCGAGCGGCGGTTTAATTTCTGTCTCGTTTTCTCACTCAAACTACGATAAGACGTGCGCGACTGCAAATAAATGAAAATGGCGAACTGGACTCTTGTGCTCCTTTGTCCCTTGCCGAGCGACGTTCGCGCAGTTAGTAAATATCGCGGCGTAAAACAGTGGCAACATGTAGAATCGCAATTATCACCCTCCCTCTTTCTATCTGTCTGTGTGTGTCCCTTTATCTTTCTTGCCCTCCTTCTCTCCGGAATTGTTTCTCTCAAGTCGCACTTTGATGCGATATTACGATGCGGCGATGTTAATTAAGTGTTATTTTTTAACTGAACCTAATTGCCGTGATTGTTAATTAAACGTAATTGTCGTACAAATTCACATATGGTGGAATCATCGTGATCTCGCATATGAGAATGAGAGAGCGAGAAAGGGAAAGAGACAGAGCGGGAGGACCTTCGTCAAGGAGTTAAGCCGGAAGGGACTAAGATGAGAACGCACGGTTCTCACAGTCACGCGATGCCAAAGGATTTCAAAAGGAGGACTCGCTTCTCTGATTAAGGCTCCTGTGATTTAACAAGAGCCGGACAAAGAATTCGGAATCGGAGTCTATCGGTCGCGCGCGACCGTTCGTCGATTCCTTACCTGGCGACTTGGGTGTTCCTCCCACACCTGTCGTTTCCGGAATCCAGCCTCGTCCATTTCCCGGAGGCGCGCAAGTCCGCAGCGGAAGAGATTGACGTTCTCGCGTTGCCGCCGACTGCACGGTGTCTTAGAGCCTCCATCTGGCGTGATTCCCCGCGCGATCGTGGCCAAGATCGTTTTCGCGCGTCTCCTCGGTGGAGTCTGCAGGGCGCTTCATCTTGGAAATACGCAGACCGAGTTGAGCTTCTGTGGACGCGCGACACTGGTATCACGTCGATATTTCTCCCTTCCTCCGTTTAAGGATTCACCATTTCACCGGGGACAATACTCGTTGCCTCGTATCGCGGGAGCGGCGCGAAAGGAATTGTTTATTTGACGGCGACCCATCCGTTGTCGCTTCACATCCTTTTTTTACGTACACAGCCACTCTCTCTCTCTCTCTCTCCCTCTTTCTCTCTCTCTCTTCCACTTTTCAATATCCCTTTCCTTTCTTTCGGAGATGCACGATCGCGTTTGCTTCCGTTTCTTCAATAAAAACGTTCATTGGGCGCCGCGCCGAGAGATCGCTTCTTTTTAAGGTCTCTTTCTTCGAGAAACGGCAACTTCTGGAATTTACGTGAAACAATGCTTGTGCATATTGAACGATCGTCGTAAAGGGCTCTCCATGACTCTCTACGAGGATCCAAATAAAACCAGGGCAAGTTCCGTGCCGCTGTAATTCTACAGCTACAAACTGTGTATATGACGAAATAATTGAAACTCGCATCATTTAAATTCTCAATTTCACTTTTATAGCGTTAAATTTATAATTTACAACATCTCTATTTACAATTTACGGCAACTCTATCTCTGTCCATTAATAATAAACATTAATAATACACGTTTATATTTGTTTTAATATAAACGTAAAATACGCTCAGTTGCTGCGTTCCGCGAACTTTTGCTTTTACATCAGACTTACAGTTTGCCCGAGTCGAAATTCCAGTTCTACATTGATCCTGCAAATCCTGTCAAACTTGAAGGTTCAATAGAGAATCTCGAGATACAGCACTACGTAAACTATTGTCTTACCTTGGTACTACAGATGTTTACTTGCTGCTGTTTAATCCATGTTGGGACTTTGAGGAGAAGAAACATTTATTTTCAGGAATTATTTAATATTCTATTATCTCATATTCTATCTATCTTGAATATTTATTCTTAATTTCAATGCACAATGTATTAATTATGTATCTTATGTAACTATAAATAGATGTATGTATGTGTATGAGATAATTATAAATAAACATTAAATAAAATTGATATAGGTAAATGACGGGATTAATAAGTAAATAAAACGACAAAAATTTTCTTTACTTACAATCCTCTTTGTATTACTTTTTTTGTGGGCATTGGAAATTTCGATATTGTTTAGATGTTCGTGGGGAAGACGTGAAAAGAAAGGAATTGTAAGACCAAGAGTAGCAGTAGTGCAAGCACCAAAGGATTTAAGTTTGGGTTCGATGTAATAACAAGGCTTAGAAGTAAAAAAGAAAGAAGAATGTTGGTAACGTGAAACTCCCGTTCAAATTAGCGCGAGATTATTAGAGAAACAAGTCTCAACACTGGCCAGACTTAGGTCGGAATATTAAATAATTCTGAAATAAAAAAAAAAGTCTCTCTTTTAAGCCTCGACAAAACAGCAGTAATTAACTATTTGTAGCATCAAGAGACAATAGCCTGCGCAACGTTCGAGATTCTCAATTATAATGCTTAAAGTTTCACGAGTTTTGCAGTCAGTTAATGTACCGAAATTTCATGTAGGACACAAAGTCGTTAAAAAATATTTCGTCTTGTTAGTAAACGACAATAGTTTCTTTTTTACGTCGCACCCTAACCGAGACAAAATCCATCGGAGTGATCGCATTATGCAAAGTTACGTATCAATCTGCGCTTGCAAATTTTTCAATCGTCCTACTGTTTTTGTTACGACTTTATCCCCTCCTCCCCCCGTGTCGTTTTTACGTCGAAGCCCGGGCCTTTCACGTTTTATACCTACGGCTGAATCGGGGATTACACGTGGGGTAGGTCTTCTCTTCATCGTGAAAGACAGGAAAACAAAAAGCCGGTCTTTATTGCCCCGCCGAGACACTGTCGTTCCACCGAGATATCGCGAAAGGCCGTTTAGGCAGCGCAGATTTAACTTTGCCTCCCTGCTTTTCGAATCCTGTATAGCTCCCTTTACCCTTTGGCCTACTACGGCCTCCTTTTTTCTTTTTCTTTCTCTCTCTCTTTCTCTTTCTCCCCCGTTCCCCTCTTTTCTCCACTAATAAATATCTATATAAATATCTAATAATTAATTGTCTCTTAAAATGTGCATTAATTATATCAGTTTAAATTTGTAAAACCATCATAAATATTATACCAGATATTACCTCTTGTTACTCTTTCACATTAATCATATGTTTTATGTAACTTCATACCCGTAACAATCCTCAGAGGGTATGCTCTAGGACTAAATTAAACGCTTCTCTCTCTCTCTCTCTCTCTCTTTCTCTCTCTCTCTCTCTTTCCTTCACTCTCTCGCGCGCATGCGAACGCGTAACTTTCCCGGTGCGTCTCAATTAAATCATTCTGGCGGTTGCCGCAGCGACGTACTTTAATTGTGAACGCCCGGGCCGCAGTTAAATTTGCATTAGGATCGAATCTGTCGGAACGGTCCTCTTAATTACAATTATAATTTTGCATCGGGTAACGGCTGCAAACGGATCAATGCAAAATGCCATTGTTTCGAACGTTAAATATTACAAAATTTTCAGATAGTTTTCCTATAAATACCGCGTTCTCTATTCCACGCGGAACCATTACCTTCACTTGATTGAGTGGAATTTTTTTATATTTCGGTCTCGTGTGTTTGTTGACTAGAGTCGGTCGATTCATATTCGAATGATAGCGACCTGTAGGAATTCGCGGGTCGCGCAATGGCGGCCCTCGCGTAATGCAGTCTCGTGAGGAATTCAAGATGCGCGAGGGACGCGACGATGCCATTGAACAAGGTCGTGAACATCGTAACGCTTTTCAGTGCTGCCGTTTTGTAATTTATCCCGATATCCTCAATATCGTTTTATCAAGACGGCTACTGCTTTCCGATAACGAAATATCGACCTAGGACGAGGGAACGGCGAGAGACTTCGCAACCGAAGAAGGCGCCCCTTGCGAAGCGCGTACAAGTTTTGCACAGCTACTCTCGTATCTTACTTTCTCAAAAATCCTACGACTCCTCGTTCGCCGTAAAAATGTCCTTACGATCTTATTTCGACCGGCGTACGTATTGCATTGTGCAGAGACCACGTTTGTTCCTCACGATCGCCTACGAAGTTTGCACATTCGAGCTGGAAAATGACAGTTTCCGAAAAGAAGGAAAATAAAATTAAAGAAAAAAGAAAAAAACGGTAGTCGCACAAAGAATCTTTGAAGAAAAGCGACGCGGATGGATTTTGCGAAATCGATGAACAGCGGCCGCGCGTGACCGACATTTTGGCGATCGAGTGAAATTACGTGGGACAACGGTGACGGACCACTTTGTACGCGGTTGGTACGCTCACCGCTTCCGTCGTATCTTTCGCCGAAAAACGTCGACCAATTTTTATTTTCGCCGACCAGGACGGAATTGCCACAAAGCAGTCGAATTGGTTCGTTCGATCGTCGAGATGGCCGCGGAAAAGAGGATGCACCTCGAATTCAGGAGTGATGAAATTTATTTCGGCGACGTGACCGGAAGCGACAAACCGCGGAAGTGCGCCCACCGAAACAATTTTCAGAAGTCGCGCCGCGACTTTTCGCCAAATTTTGCAAAACAATTTTACTATTACTATTATTTGCAGCGCGCGCGCTCTCTGTTGTCGCGCGCTGTTGCGTACAACTTAGGGCATCGGTCCGCTTTGATCGAGCTATTTGCATTCGTCCGGATGAATTAGACGATTAAAGTGGAGACTAATTAATTTGATTTGGACACTCTTGCCCGTGCAGAGTCAAACGGATTATTCGATGTGGCAAACGGGAATAAATTACCGACGCGATTAACGACCGGCAACTTTTCGATGATCCTCGAAACGTCGCGATGCAGAGAAGCGACGGAAAAAATGCAGCGACCACTTGGAAGTGTTTTGACGAGCGCTTATTGTCGCTTATTGTCGCTTTGCTGAGGTTAAAAAAAAGACAGAGAGAGAGATGCGCATAACTTCGGGATAGACATTTAACAAGATTTACGTTTCAAGTACGAGAATTCTATACATTGCTGATAAACTTTCATTTACATTGATAATTTATAATCAACTCCAAGTCCCCTTTTGTTATTAATTTTCCCTCCCTCTCTCTCTGCATCGTTTCTCTTAAATAAAATCAACAGCAACGACGATATTTTTCATCAGACGAGGTTCAACGATGTTTTAATCGATTAGTCGGTGTCCGTGTTCGACCAAAGGATCCGCTGGATCGAGCACCTGATCGAGTTCATTTATCGTGCTCTCACGCGGATTCAGATCTTCACTTAACCAACAAAATAAGCGGGCGAAATGAGAAGCGAAATTAATATTCGTACGTATATATTCAAGTGGGTCACGTGGGGATTAGTGCCGGTGAAACTGTAACGACAGTCGCGCAATAATTACGCGGCTTCCAGAGCTCGTAATGTCTTTAACCCCGCTTCTTACATGTGCGCCAGGTCGCTGCTGGAGTAGGCTCGCGGGAACTGCCGCGCGGAGCCACTCTTGAGATGGAGAAAGACGACGCGGAGGAGACTGAGAAAGGAACAGGAAGAAGTCGGAGGTCATTTATTCCTGCATGATGCGTCAGATTGCGATGCGATGCGATGTGTCATCATCGCGCTGATGAATGACGCCCGTGCTACGTTCGAAGACACCACGTAAACGAACGATGTCGTCTCGAGTCTCGAACGGACTGTTGTTAAAAAATTTGCAGAATTTTGCGGAGCCATTTGTGCCGTCCGTGCGCGACAATGGCGCGGTCAGTAATCTTTAATTATATGTATGAGTGTTTCTAAATATTCGATTCACGCTGTGCGTCACGCCACTCGCAGGGACCGGAGAACTCGGTTCAATGCAACGAGTCGCCGCTGTTTTATGCCGTCTGATTTAATGTTAGTTAAACACACAATGAAAAGTTAAAATTTAATCGCGCGGCCTCGTCCTACGTACGCGCGCACTCACTGAATTCAAATGCCAATGAAAAATCTTATATGTGATAATTAATTCATATGGAACGATTCGAAAGGGATGTTGATAAAATACGGGCATAATGTCGTTCGTGTTACTGGATCAACTTAATCGAGAAATTACAACGATAATTCGAAAATTGCAGCGCGAACGGTATTAATTCGCCAGCGGTTAACTGTCAACGGAGACACGTCGACTGGAAGAAACTGCGAGCGTCGATTACGGATAAATGCATGTCGTTCAATTGTTACCGCGCTGTATGTATCCTAATTTAACACTCAACCGACGACACGTTCGTCGAGTGCGACGATATTCCGATGTCTCAATATTGCGACAATTTTAAACGCTAGGATATAGATACAACGACGACGACGATGATGATGACGATGAAGTGAACACGCAGATCGCGATATGCACACTTGACAGAAGTGAATCGACAGGGAGGCGGGTCTCGCATCAACATGCGCCGTGAAATTTGTGCCGAAATGCCATTGCCGAAAGTATTTCGCGTATTTGCATCCGTGGCATGTGCTCTATCGATATTCGATGCACCGAGGACGTTTGAACGCCGGGGAAAACAGATAAACTAGCCAGACAGACGCGGAAGCCGAGGTCAATGTCCCCGAAAAGGCGCGTATCGCAAGGGTCGTATCGAAGATCCGCAGCTTGCACACCCGCCGGGGAAGAACGTACTTGGACGTACGTAAGCTCAAACAAAGAATCGACAATGACGATCGCACGTCCAACTTTTCGCCCGCAAACCGATTCGCTCGCGAAAAACAAGACGCCCCGGCGCCACCGCCGCCGCCCAAAGAGAAAGCCCGAGGCTCAAATTTTCGGCGGAAAACAAATCGGTAAATATTCCTCCGCACGACGACCCTGCACGAAGGGGATGTTGTAAAACGCGTCTGCCGAAAGAACTTTCGCGTAAAATCTCGCGTAGTTCTCGCCGCGGGAGAAGGATATCTTCTTCGTCAATTTTTCAAGATAACTGTGCGCTTTCTCCACCCCTTCCTATCTCTTTTCTTCTCTCTTTCCGTAGCTGTATATACTTCCTCGTCGACAACAGCGTTGAACAACGGCACTTCAACACAGAGAATGTGTGTGAGCGAAAAATAAAAGTTCAAAATTCAAATTGAAACAAATTTTCGGCGGAAAACAAACCAACCCTCCGCGCAAAAACCTTGCTCAACGAGAATGTTGTAAAATATACAGGAACAACCGAGTTTGTGTGCTGAAAGAGCTTTCGCAGGATAAAATTTTGCAGGAGAAAAACATTCCCTTTGCCAATTTTTCAAGATAACTATGTGTTCTCCCACCCCTTTTTCTTCCTTCCTCTTCCCTTTGCTGCATATACTTTCTCGCCGGCAACGGCGTTGGAGGACACTTCAACACATAGGGAATGTGCGAGCAAAAAGAAAAAAAATGAAAATCGCGCAAAATGACTCCGGTAGCGTGGCGCGTGTCCCGGCGTGTCCCGGCCACGATTCTCGCGTACGCACGCACTTACGCTTTCGAGGCGCACCGCGAGACGCAGAGGATCCTCTTCGGCACACGAGCCTCGCACACAACGGAGCACCCACTCGGAGCAGCCCTTTCGGGGCAGTACCGAGATGTTCGTCGATGCGGTCCGCAGGGTTAATAACGGACGCGCGTCGCAGGATTATTCGGCGAAGGAGAGCGTCCTCGGAAAGCTCTCCTGGACCGGATCACGAGACGATGTCCCTCTTCATCTTCGGCGCCACGGCGTCTCTCAGCACCTCTCTTCGCGGCTTCCGTTGTATCCGGCGGGTGGGTGAGACGAGAAAGGTGTCAACGTGCCGGCGACGCGCACGCACACACAGGCAGGCAGGCAGGTAGGCAGGCAGACAGACACAAGCACCCACACTACACGCACTTCCGTAAATAGTAACGCAACGCGGCGGACTTTACTCCCGCGAATCGCCCGCGCGAACTCGGCTTACGTGGAGAATAACGTGCGGTCCGGACTATTTATCGGAGATGCGACATCTCGAGAGGGGCCAGTCAGTAGGGGTGGTTTTGGCGAACGTGCGTTTAACCGCGTGGGTCTTTTGGGGTGCCGGTCCCGACGTTGACTGCGCCATCGGGCAGACTCCATCGCGCTGCTCCACATCGGCGTCGGAGGTGGTGGCGGTGGTGGTAGTGGCGGCGGCGGCGGTGGCGCCGGTGGAGGAGGCGGTGGTGGCATCGACGGTGGCGGCAGCGGCGGTGGCGGTGGCGGTGGAGGTGGAGGTGGTGATGCTGTTGGTGGTGGTGGTGGTGGTGGTGGTGGTGGAGGCGGCGGTGGCGGCGTCGTCGTCGTCGTCGTCGTCGTCGCCGCCGCCGCCGCCGTTGCTGCTGCTGCTGCTGCCGGCGAGCGTCGGCTATCGATTTTTCCGTGCAGCCTCCGCGACCGGAACATGCCGGTCCACGTCTGTTCTAGCCAGTCTTGTCCTGCAGGACTGCTTGAACCGATCCTTGCGTCTTTACTGCAGACCGTTTGATTGGATCAACGTTCGCTGGAGATATTTTTCCGCGACGTCTCCGATGATTGCGATGACGAAGATAGTAACGGGGTGACTTTGAAGCAGGGATGCGTTGTCACTTGAGCAAAGATATATTTCCTAATGGTGTTGAGGCTCTGCGGCCTCCGTTCGGATTGGAAGTTCAAACAACAACGTTTCATTATTTCGATACTATATAAAATGAATATAACAGTCACATAGCTAGTCCTGGACATTCTTATTATTTTAGTCTATAAACAGATATTTAATACTTTCAATGTAAAATCTATATATATATATACATATATTCTACGTTGCAAGTTCAAATATTCGTACTTAAAATAATAAGAATGGCCAAGATAAGATAAGCGTCCGGGAATCAGTACTTTTATCTTAACGATGCTAATAAGAATCACGCGTGAAAATGCGGATGTGAATTGAGCTTCACGAGTGTGAGTTTGTCACGTTCGCTCTGATGAACTCAGTCACACCTAGTCTTATTGCTCGTTCATCTCGTGAGGATTTGGTGGATTTGATTCCTATCTCGTTTCTTTCGCCGTCTACTGTTGCTTGTTCCTCTCTCAATCGTGATGTCGCTGCTTGAGAGGAGTCAGAAGGAAGTGATCGCGATAAGATACGTTAGGGTTGTTCCGTCGCCGATAGACGATGATGTTTATCGAATTAGTCCTGCTGCGCCCCGGGGTGTGTCTTAACGCGTGCCTTGCTTTTAATTAAAATCTCTCGATCATTGCGAAACGACGCAATCTAATTTTCAGCGTGATGCATACGCGATAAGATGATTAATGTTGCCTCGATGTAATTAATATTAATAGCAGAGCGTGCGTCAAGAGCGTAAGTCGCACCTCGCGTTCGGCACTTCGCCCGTCAATTTCGCGTCGGGTTTCTTTTTCATGCAGCCGCGCGCGTAATAATATCGTTAAGGTGCGACTGTTTGCGATAACACGTTGGTGAGAGCGCGCACGCGCGCGATCTCTCATTTAATTAACTCGGTTATAATATTGTTTAATATAATTCTCTGCCTTATATATGGGCGAATAATATTCATATTTATTTCGCGAAGTCCTCATACACACGCGCACACGAGTGACGTTGATCGCGAATACATTCGCGCCACGTTCGCGATAAGTTAGTTTTTCAATGTCACGACGTAAAAGAAACATTCTAATTAAGTATAATGTGCTCCGCGCGGCGATCGTACAACTTGTGAAATATCTCCTTGGGACTATACAGTCCAAGTATGTGCACAATTTTAACAATTAGTTTATCGCGAAACGACGGCGCAGCACGCCCAGTATCGCGCTATTTTCCACACCCAGCGCAAAAAGTTTCAACGTTATTACTAACGAAAGAATGGCGCCCGTTCGAACGTTACATACAAACGAAGAGATATGACAAGCGCGACAACTCCTCGGGGATATTTTTTAATCGCGCGGCGTTTTCGGCCGAATTAAGATGAGCATAGCGGAAAAGCCGCGGCGGGCTGAAAGTTACGTAGATTGAATGCGCTCGGCGAAAACACCAACGAGAGCGAGCGATCGATCATTTCGCTCCGGTCTCGATGGGAGACTGAGATTAAATATCCATTGTGCGCCCCGCGCTATGTGTGTCTGGATAACATCCGCTGTGCCATTGGACAGTTTCACGTAATTCCGAACGTTCCTAATTACAAACATAGTCATCAGCCGCACGAGGAGGCAATAAAGCCCTGAGGGTGGATCAAAACTTGGCCGATTATCGAATCGCGCGCTTGTTATATCCGACATATCGGGAAAAGAGAGACAACAAACTGCTAGAGATGCGCGCCATATGTTCCTTTTAATTACGGCCATATCGCGGAAAGCACAAGCGACGTGGAAGACGCGGTGATAACGCGTGTCTAATGATATCATCCATCTTCTCATTAATCGTCTCAACTTACAGCAAACATGTTCATTTCATCCTCTTTATAAAGCCACGAGCTCGCTTTGCAGTTAATATCTTCATTGTTAATATCATTACCATTGTTATCGACTTTTATGTTTTTTATGTATAAAAGTGATAAGACCTATTTTCGAAGTCGTCTCTTGAGAACGATCTTCAACTCATCGCAATTCCTACCTGCATCTATATGAGAAGCGAATTATTTTTGAATTGAATACAAATGCGCGTAATGTGGAAGAGGGTAAAATATAGGAGAGGAATGAAATTAGCATAAAAGCGGGAATAAATACAAAAGCGACAGGAGAAGTCGACAATGCAAACAAACGCGTCGGCCGTATCTCCTTGGGAGCCGGTCGCGGCTGATCACGAACGGATGGCTCTACTTACGGCAAGTAGCGGCACTCGATCTGCGGTCGGACAATAAGGGAAGTTAGCTTACGCCAGCGCTTTGTCCACGACGATGAGCGATCTTTGAAACTGAGATGAAAAAGGATGCCGGAGGGGGGATCCGTCGGTCGTATCCGACGACAGGGGAATGCGAATGTGTGTGTCGACTTTATGAGAAGCATGAGGTGACAATAAGAATGACAAAGGATCTCATTAACGTCCCTCGAGAATATCTCGAGTGCGAAGAAAATTCGATCTCAATATACTACTCGTAATAACGCGATTACAAATAAGACCAACAGCCTCATATGAGACGAAAAGTAAAATAGATCTCTCGTGTCGGAATATAAGAAAATATATAGAGTAACACATATAACGAGAGATATCACATAATAAAATATTACACACATAATATATTACACATAATAAGAGATTTTTAAAAAACGTCCAAAACTGCGTCTAGGCTCTCAGGTTTGTAAATAATTGTTATTTGAAATTTATCTCAGATGAGACACTCAGATTTAATGTAGAGTTTTAATGTAGTAGTCGTGAGTTTTTTAGTTTGAATCGCGATTACAAATGTAATGTCTATATGTATTATATAATTCAAATAATCTCAATAAATTTTCACATATTTTTGCTCAATATAAGAGAGAACCTTTTAAATTTTGTTGTATTATTTAATCTTTTTATTTTTAAATAATGTACCGAATCATTGCGGAAATCATATTAGAAGCCAATAATCCCTTTCAATGTTAACTAAAGTGTCCCCTTCATATCGTCTTTTATATGAAAGGATAGAAGAGGGAGCGAATATCTGTATACATAACGGGGAGATAAACTGGGGAAAAGGATATACCTCGAAGTTATCGTGCGAAACTCTGTGAATACGTACAAATAAAGGATCGATGCGGAACGTCAACGTTGTAATAACATGTGATGCGATTGATGATGATATTTCTTCGAATGAGAATCGATCAGGGGAGTCACGCGCACGCGCGCGCGCGCGTTCACACAGAAAGGGAGGCTCATTTATTCGTGCATATTCAACAGTGAAAACAAGCGAATGTGTGGGTAAGCCCGAATTGCTTTTTTAGCGCATGAACGATATCGACATATTTCTCCGATCGTGCACGGGAGTAGAGTATTTGAGTAAGCGCGCTTCTCAAGTATCACACACGGAAGGTCCTTCTCTGAGCGAAATAATAAAAGCGATATTCTCCACGGAACAGCGGGAAACGGAGATAAATTCAGAAAGCTGTAAATCTCGCGGGAATCTCTCGTCAAGGCGATTCCGCGACCGAGACGAGCACCCGGCGAGCCATCACGGCGGATACACGGAGTGTCGTCGAAAAAATGCGTGTACGTAAGCGTACACTCGTGGACAGAAAGGTTGCCTGTGATTTTCGGGCTG